GATTCCCATCTCTGCATCCTCCAATTGAATTGAATATGAAATTTTAGAGAGGGCTAATGCAGACAGACAATTTAAAAAAAAACATTTTGTTTAATGATGGATGTTCTTTTACATTCAATAATAAACTAAATGTTCAAATTTATAGAATTTGGTAGACAGGAAAACCTGATGATATTATTGAAACCCACACCGAATATCGTCGAAAAATAATGTCTGGTTAGGAATATTTAAACAGAATATTATTGGACCATTTTTTTATGAGATGAGGAAAATTTAAATTTAAAAATGTTTTTAGACTTTTTAACTACAAGAAGATATTTTACCCAGACTTGCAGAGGTAGCTCCAGATGAAGGAGAAATTTTGTTTCAAATAGTTAATTTATAATGTGATTTTTATTATAATCACAACCAATAATTGTGGTTTAATTCCATAAAAACATAATATTTTGCTTAACCATGCTACATGAAGGTACACTGAACGACAAAAAAAGTGGCCACCCTCTAAATTGCCAATTAGAGTAATATTCTGTCCTATTTCTCCACTTGTCATCTGTCCAAGTTGTTTTATGCCTTTTGGACAAATTATGTTAGGAAGGACATGGACGGTTGTAAAATCAGATTCATCACAGCTCCAGGCGAAAATTCATTTCAGGACAGAGTAATTTGTAAGAAATGAGCTGACATTGGATATATTAAACGAGGCGGATCTTGATAGGCTTGTAGGCTCCGGTTTTTGAAGTAATAATTCTCCTGTGTAACGCCTTAGCCTTAATATCTTAGCCATCCTTTACTGGCTTTCTTATCTTGCTCCCATGATGATGGAACCTTTTTATCATTTGCAAAAGCGAATTGGTAAGCAAAACAACAAACCTCCATTCTTGTCAAGTCATAGTAAAGGCATGCTGCTGATATTAAATAATCTTTCAACATATTTTCTTCTTTAATTGAAAAAACGTGTTAAGTTTTATTGCTCGCTTCATAACAAAACTCTGCCGTACCTTCTAATTTTTTATGTTTAGTCATGTGCCTAATAAGTGTTGTTTTAGACACATTATAACAACGAGAAGCTTTCCGTATGGACAATTCACCATTATGAGCTTTTTGAGTGCACACTTCATATTGCTTGGATTAATGGGTCGGTTTTTATTTCCGCTTTGCTGCGTGGCACCTTCATTCTGAAAAATAAAACTTAGTTTACTATTTATTTAAAAAACTATACTTATACGTATATAAAAACAACACAAAATCAGATTATAAAATAATTCAAAAATTATGGCATTGTACATTGGACCGGTCCAAGCCCTAAACTAGGTGGTGACGTCCTGATTTTTTATTAAATAAAACATGTGAAAAATATACTTTTAAGAAAAACTATTTATAGAAAATAAAAATGTAAACTACAGTTTATAATTAGGCATAAAATTGATTAGACAGGATGATTGCAGATTTAAAATAAACTAAATTTTTACACAGCTATACCAAAATAAAGATAAACTACACTGGTCATCCAAATATTCATTCATAACGTTCAAATAGCACTTTATCGCCCTCTATGACTGAAGACAGAAGAGAAGAATTAGCTATTTCGTGTTACCGTTAAATCCTTTTTTTATAATAGTATTAGCAAGTGGGCCAAGGTTCACGCATATCCAAGGTACAACACCTTCCCCTATATACCTCTAGAAATATTAAAAATAATCGAAAACGTCTACCAAAATAACAGATTAAAAGTAAAAGTAAAAGAAGAACTAAACAATTTAGTGAAGCTGGTAATGGGATAAGACAGGGAGATTCTCTGAGTCCTTTATTGTTCAACCTGATTATGGATGAAATAATAAAAAAGTAAGAAATAAAAAATGATAACAAATAGGAGAAAAATAACTTAAAGTAATCTGCTATACAGACGACGGAGTTTAAATATCTACGCATCACATTATCTAGCTACGGAAAGTTCGAAACCGAAGTGAAAGATCAAGTGAATACAGCAAACAGAGCCGCAGGCTGCCCAAATGAAACAAGATGGAGAAATAAAAATATCGCGAAAGAAACAAAAGGCAGAATTTACAAAACAGTTATCAGAGCAATAATGACATACGCGGCAGAAAAAATACCTGACTAAAAGAGGACAAAAAGGATGCTAAAAACAGCAGAGATGAAAACACTTACAAACTTTGATTTTAAGACTATAGGACAGAGCTAGAAGTACAAATATATGACGTAGAAGCAAGGTGCAGAACATCACAAACTGGGTAAGAAAAAGAAGAGTAGAATGAAACGATCATATAAGCCGATTGACAACAAATAGAGTAGTAAAGACGGAAAGAGACGGTTTTCAATAGGAAGACAATCAGTAGGAAGACCACGAAAACGATGTAATTACAACTTATTGGAGGCACATTGAAAAACAGACAGAGTCATGTCTATACTTTTAATTTCCATATATTATTTTCAACTTTATGTGGAGGTAGAAGAATTAATTTTTCTCAAAAATGAAAAAGACACTTCACAAAGAGCCAAGATAACCGATATTCCAAAAAAAAATTCAGTGTTCACCAGTCTTAGGTTTCTACGGAAACATTTAGGCGTAGAATGTCGCTGTGGAACGAGTGCCGGCGAATAGCTTATTACTGAAGGTTTTTTTCTAGAATACCATTTAACAGCTGTCTGCGAGCATCTATAGGGTCAGATTTTTAATCTATGAAGAAGTACAAATTGAAACTTGTTTTATTTAACAATATTAATGACAAAATAATTAGAAAATGCCTAAAATAACCAGAATGGAAGAGTAGAATGAAACTATTAAATAAGCCGAATAACAACAAATAGGGTAGTAAAGACGGCTAGAGACGGTTTCCCAATAGGAAGACGATCAGTAGGAAGACCAGGAAAACGATGGAATGACAACTTACTGGAGGCACATTGAATATTCGCTATCGTGACTTTATTGACAGCAGCTCTAAATAACGATGTAGTTGATTTTCCATACCATTGCCTTGATTTTTCAGCCGTGATGTTCTTCTTCAACCAGGACCACGATTACCTTGGATCTTTGCCTGAATGATCAGATGTAAAAGATCATATTTTTCAGGGTGTCTCATAATGTGACCGAAGTATTCCAGCTTGCGTTTATTTATTATATTGACCAGTTGTGTTGTTTGGTTCAGCCGTCTAAGGACCATTTCATTTCTAACTCTGTCAACCCAGCTTATTTTCAGTAGTCATCTATATACCTACATCTCAAAGGCTGTCAAGCGTTAAAGGATAGCCTCAGTTAGAGTCCACGCTTCCACTCCATATAGCAGGACAGGAAAGATATAGCAAGATGTCATACGAACTCTAAGGACAATGCTAAGATCGTGACTGCAAAGTACGTTTCTCATTTTTACAAAGGCAGCTCGGGTTTATTCTATTCGGCTTTTAATTTGTTCGGTTGGATCCCAGCTCTCATTGATATTACTGCCGAGATACACGAGTTTCTTTAATATCTCCAGTGTAGCATCTTCGACTTTTATACCGTCATCATGTATATATTTTTGTTTGCTAACTGTCATATATTTAGTTTTCTTAACGTTGAGTTTTAATTCATGCTGATCATAAGTGTGTTTTATTTTGTTCATTAGATTTTGAAGGAGGTCTTCTCCGCAATTAGAAAGCACTAAGGTATCGTCGGCATATCTAATATTGTAGACGGTTACTCTATTCACAAGACTACTTCGGTTGTCTCCATTAAGGCTTCCTTAAATAATTCCTCCGAATATAAGTTAAAAAGTTAAGCCGACAATATATAGCCTTGTCTCACTCCTCTTTTTATATTTATTTCATCCGAGAGTCCTTGTTTAACCTTTATTTATGCCACTTGACGCCAGTATAGATTTGTAATTATTTGTAGATCTTTATCGTCCAATCCAACTGTTTTCAATATTTCTAGCATTTTGTTATGTCGAACTTTGTCAAAAGCCTTTTCAAAATCAATTGCACAAATGTACACATTTTGATTTAAATCTCTGCATCTCTTTATTAGCACCTATATACTAAACAAGGCTTCTCTCATACAAAAGCCACTCCTAAACCCAAATTGAGTATTGCTAATTCTGTCCTCTTACAGCGTGTAAATTCTGCTGTGTATTACTTGCAGAAAGATCTTCTAAACGTGACTCATCAGACTTATTATCCGATAATCACCGCATGTCTTGTTTCTGACAAGACGATGTTTCTGAGGTATTGTGACAAATGTCGACTTTAACCAATCAGTTCTTAATATCCCAGTGTCATAAATTCTGTCAGAGACTACACAGAGCTTTAATTTCATTTCGTATTCCCAGACCATATTTTCCTATGATAGCTACCTATTTACCTTCACCAATCTTTGCATTAAAATCTTCCATGATAATATTGAGATCGTGTTTCTTTGTAGATGCTAATACATGTTCTAAATCATGATAGAATTTTTAAATTTCTTTTGTTTCATAGTCTTGTGTGGGTGCATATACTTGTAATATGTTCACATTGATTGTAATTGATTGTATTTGTATCATCGGTATCCTGTCTGAGAATTGAACGACGTTTTTTACAGCTTGTTTAGCTTTACTTTTACAGCCAATAAGGTTTAAAGTATCAAATTCCTCCTAAATTCTCCTTTTTATAAAATTCATAATTTCAGAACTTCAATAACTTTATTTTTTGTGGGGTAATATACACATAATTAGTAAATAAATTAGACTTCTGCATAATAAAAATGAAATATTTAATCAATAATAACGATCCAATTGATATAAATAAAAAAAGATTACCTAACCTATTAAAACACTAAATTTATTTAACTATATTGACATCCTACTAGGTAAAATTTGTGAAGAATGCATATATTAATTGTATATGCATATATTAATTTTGCGAAATTGAAAGTAGTACAAGCTTGTAGGAAGAAGATATTGTATAAAAACATGCCATTATGAGCGAAACACCATCAGTCTTCGATTGATAGACCAACCAATAACAATATGTCTTTTAAAGTAAGTTATTTTTAAAAAATGTGTCATTTTAATATAACTGTGATATCTATCCATCTAATACTCGAATAGTCTTTAATTTTGTGAAAACTGGAACGTCATAATATTGAAAAACCAACTGTTTATCACTAGCTAAGGATATTGTTAATAGTAGAAGTAGCAAATTGTTCAAAAACTCATGAAAAATGATATAACTGTAAAAATAAGGGTAACAAAAAGAAATTCATCACTGACTCGACAAATAGGGAAAATTGTATCCATTGAAGATAGTGACCTTTTAAATTTATTGTCGACACTTTTCACACAAAGAGTATAAAAAATGACATATAAACAGAGTCATATTTAATTTAGCATATTTAGAAAAATATATAATAACCATTTACTATTTTTAGGTTTTAACTTTTGCTGCACTTGTTGCCTTCACAAATGCAGGATTATTAAGCGAGGCTCCAGTTGCTGGTCCTGTCATCTCCGCATACTCATCTGCACCTGTGTTTGCTGCTCCAAATGTACTTAAATCAGTGGCTCCTGTGGTATCTGCTTACTCGTCTCCGTTAGCTTTACCAGCTCCAGCTCCAGTACTTTCTTCGTACTCTGCACCAGTTTTTGCCAAATCAGTAGCTCCAGTTGCGTTATCTGCCCCAGTTGCCTACGCAGCCCCAGCACCAGTCGTTTCAGCTTACGCTAGTCCCATACTAGCCAAAAGCTTGACACCCGTTAGCTACGCCTCACCTGCTCCAGTTGTATCAACTTACTCGGCTCCAGTACTAGCCCAAAGCGTATCTCCTTTAGCCTATAGCGCTCCCGCTCCAGTTGTATCCGCCTACTCAGCTCCTCTGGTGGCTAAAAGTGTAGCTGCTGCGCCCGTCCCATATGCCGGATATGCTTCTCCACTTTTGTCTGCTTATTCTGCTGCACCAGTTGTTCAACCATGGTAATTTCCTTGTAATATCGACTGATATTTAAATATTAATTATTTATATATTTACATACAAATAAAAAGTACAAACTTAAATCTTTATTTTATTTGTTTAAAAATACAACCAAATGAATACAAATACAATACATACTTATTGTACTTTCCTAAGTAATGAGGAAAATAAAATACTAAATGTATATTGAAGATGACCACTGAATATATAATACCTAAAATATTCCATATACCAAAAAATTAAACTGTAACCATAAATTATTGTTTAAAAAAAAACGCAAGGTAAAAGACGAGTACTTTTTCATCTATTCGTCATCTAGTAACACCCACCTATGTCTTAAGAGCTTTAGATATTTACGAAAAATTTTGCCGTGAAATTGATGACTTTTGCATAACCAGACTGGGCTATTAGTATTAGGCAGCAACATGAGGGAGCTTTGCCTTGCGATATGCGTGGAGTTATGTAACAAATCTATTGTCCATTGGATAACCTAAAAAAGCAATGTTTATAAAACAAAACCTACCAATATGCAGAAATCACAAGATAGGATTATCAAATAGATATCAAAATTGAGAAGTAAGGCATGTTACAGAATATATAGTACAGTTTTAAAGGTCGCTTAAAAGATAAGAGGTAGTTCTAAGATCAAATTTATAAAAAATGTGAAACAGACATTAGTGTCTCTCCGTTCGCAGTTAGAAAGGATCTGGAAACAAATACTCATTCAAAAATGCCTTGATCACCAGAAAAAGTTTGTTTCTTCGACTAGCAAAAGGCTTTTAATAGAGTCCAGCATGCAAAATGGTTGCATAAATAAAAAATAATGAAGCTGGATGGAAAAGATCTTCACATAATTTAAAACCTTTATTAGAACCAATAAGCAACCTTACCACACTACTAAATGCGTCCGTATACAAAAAAGTGTTTCCATGTCTCCATTGCTCTTTAACTTGTACTCTGAATGTATATTAAATCAAGCACTAGACGGCGCCGAAAGACAGATCAGGTATGCAGACGATACAGTTCTGATCTGATAGTGCAAGTTAATTATGCAAGTGAAGCAATGGAAGTGATAATATACCTTCAAAAAACTTAAGTAATGGTGATTAGCAAAACCGATGAAAAGTGTTGCATTGACCTAAATAATAATAAATTAGAACAAGTTATTAAATTTATATAAGTATTTAGGAGTAGTACTAAATAATAAGTGAGATCCAGATATAGAAATAAAAACAAAATTATAATAGGCCAGAAACATGTATATATAAATTATCGATAACCGAAAACTACGCTTCTTCTTCTTTTTATACACTCATGACTCATACAGTCTATTTTTCAATGAACCTCCAGTAAATTGTGGTACCATCATTTTGGTGGCCTTTCTACTCATCGTCTTTCTATTAGGGAACCATCTTATGTCATCTTTACTACTCTCTTTTTTTAATTCGGCTTATATCATCACAAATTTTTACTCTTATAATTCTTACCCTGTCCTTGATGTTATCCACCTTCCATCTAGATCGTATACTTCTAGCTCTGTCCCATTTTGTTTTCCATCAATTTTGTTCAAGTGTTCTTATCTCTGCTGTTTCTAATATTTGCCTAACTTTTTGTCCTCTCTTTGCCAGATCGTGTTTGTTCTATTCGATTATTCTTCTACTTTTGTTTTTAGCGTTCCGTAGCTAGATGATGTGATTCCTAAATATTTAAACTTCTTCACTTGTTCTATTATCTGACCTTCCAGATCCAATTTACATCTTAGTAAATTTGCTGTTATAACCATGCACTTTGCCTTTTTTGGGGAAATTAACAAGTCAATTGTTAAAAAAATAAACAACTAAACTAAGCTTAGACATACGAATTGGAGTTATTATATACTACGTTTGGTCAGTCCTCTTGTATTCACTTAAAGCTTGGATATTAAAATTAAATACAATGAGACTTTGAAACTAAGTCTTTAAGACTGACCCTTTAAAATGTGCCTTTATTGCAGCCTACTTAGAATATCATGCATCCAACACCTTATGAATCGAACAGTATTAGACACCACAAATAGAGAGTTGGAACTTATAACAACTATTAAGAAAAGAAACCTTGAAAACCTGAAAAAATGTACCTACGCTACGTGGCAATGAGAATGACCATGTGCCAATGAGAAATAACAAACATAACCTAATTGAAGGAAAGATAGGGGCTGAAGAGAAGTACGCAAAGACACATCTCATGGCTTCGCAATATCGGAACTTAAAAGTGCATGAACGTTTAACAATTACTTAGAGCAGCGCAAAATAGAGAACATTTTAATATAGTCAAAGCAAACATTCAGTTATGGAACGCCACATAAGACGGAGAAGGAAGGTCGCTTGATATGTATAATACAAACGGACAACCGTTTACCAACCGGCTTTTGCACTTAAGTCTCCCATGATAAAAAATCTTTTCCAGTCTCATTAAATCTCTTTTTTCTTAATGAGTCACTTCCTTGAGATTAAAACTGATATCAACTGGATCTGTTGCATTTGTAGCAGCCTTGTCAATATCCGAGCACTCTACAAAGTTATTGAATGCTTTATAAATAGTTTTATCATGTAAAGAGATTGCACAGCCGGCAATGTTTTTCGTTCTGTTTTGATCAACAATTGAGTGATTAGTTATCATTACTTCTTAGCGATATTTTTATTTATTACTTTCATTATAAGAATAATGTATCCAATTTTTTTATTCTAGTTAATGACGTCAATGGATTTTTATTACTTGTTAGACCAGTGGTCACATATGGATATGAAACGTGGATCCTTTTAACTACTTCTTCTTCTCATGGCGCCGTCTCCTTTCGAAGGTTCGCGATCCAAATGGCAATTGTGGTTTTGGAAACTGCTGCGTGAAAGATTTCTGCAGATTAGCGGTCGAACCATCTTCTTAGATATTTCAGCCACGAGTTCTGGCATCTTCCTACTGATCTTTTGCCCTGTACTTTTCCTTCCAGTATAACTTAAAGTAATTCATATTTTTCGTCTCTCAACACATGACCCAAGTATTGCATTTTCCTTTCTTTGATTATTTTTTTAACTACTAATGAAAATCAATTGAGAATATATGAGCCCACATAATTAAAAAATATATTTGGACCAACTTATTGTTGTGATGATTCGTGAAGAATAAAAATAAACTATGAGCTGGATGAATTAATGCAGAGGGTAGATATCATTAGATTTTTTTTAAATTCACAAAGAATAAACTCCAAAGTAATAGGACAAGAAAAAGGCCCAGTACACGATGGATAGACGATGTAGAGCAAGATCTTAAAACCATGAATATCAGGCAATGGCGAAAGAAAGCATCCGACAGGGTAGAATTAAAGAACATTGTTAAGCAGGCCAAGACACACAAAGGTTGTAGTGCTATTGGAAAAAAAAGAATACAACATAAAATGATGTTCAGGTAGACATACATATGAGAAGATAAAATAAGCTAGAAAGTCACAAGAGTAACAGCTTGCCCAAATAAGAAGATACAGAAAAACAATTAAATAAAAACAAATTTAAAATCTAGAACTTATAAAACAGCGATTCGATGCTGTTGGAACCGGTTTTTAATTTTAATATACCAAAATTTATTTTCAACATACGTCATAAAAAATACCCAAGGAATATAGAACAAGTAAAAGACCATTTTGTGATATTTATTTTAAAATATGTTTAAGTTGCTTATTATAATTATATACAGTCTATATCAAATAACACAAAGTATATTAAGTCATATTTTTATTTAAATATAATAAATACGTAAATACAGTCAATATACACAGTTATATTTTACCATGGTTGAACAAGTGGTCCAGAGGAATAAGCAGATACTAATGGTGATCCATGTGCAGCATAAGCAAGAGGAGCTGGTGCAAAGCTCTTGGCAACTACTGGTGCTGAATATGCAGATACAATTGGAGCTGGGGCAGCGTAACTTAGAGGTGCAACACTTTTGGCAACAACTGGAGAAGAATACGCTGATAGTACTGGAGCAGGAGCAGCGTAAGCTAGAGGAGATACGCTTTGAGCTACCAATGGAGATGAGTAAGCTGATACAACTGGAGCATGAGCTGAGTATGCGACTGGTCCTACTGATTTAGCTACAACCGGTGCAGAATAGGAAGAAATGACTGGAGCCGCTGCTGGTAGCGCAAGAGGTGCAGAATACGCAGACACTACTGGGGCCACTGATTTGGCGAAAACTGGTGCAGAGTGGCTAGTGTAAGTTTGGATATAAGATTTTGAAACTGCTGCTGGAGCAGCAAGTACGGGTGCCGCAGAGTATCCAGAGACTAATGGGGCAGCAAGTGGAGCTTCGCCAAATACTCCTGCATTGACATAAGCGATAAGAGCAGCAAAGACAAGTACCTAAATATAATAAAATAATATTTAATTTTAGTTTGGTAATGAATATATATTTAATATCTTTACAAGTATTTAAATATAATAAAATCTTAGTAAATAAACCAAAAACCTTTTTTTAACTTACTTTAAAAGCCATGATGTTGTTCTGTGTTCTGTTCAACAAGAAATGATGTTGTACGACTTACGCAGTTTAGCTTTTATACAGATGTCACCTACTTTCGATTTTGTGCAAGGTCTCGGTTAAATAGTTTATTATTAATGTGACAAAAATAGGCGTATCTGCCGTAGAGATTAATAACATTTGACATAACTGGCTGTGTTTTTTTTTATTATAATAAAAACCATTTTATACAAATTTTAAAATTAAATCGTTTCAAAATTCCATATCGTATGTGATATATATTGCCAAAATATAGTATATAGTTTAAAACACTCAAATATAGGTACAGAATTTTAATAAATGCACCAACAAAATATTCAGAAAAATGGTCTTGTAAGGTAAATATAATAGTGTACAAAGTATTCCAAATTTCTATGACAACTTACAACTGTTAAAGATATAAACAAGGTATTACAAACAAAATTGTCGGAAGGTAAAACTAAATTATACTTTATATTAAATATTGTAAAAAAGCTTAATTTGAAACTAAAAGAAAGTTATAAGAATATTTCTAGATGCGTCGGTAGTTTTTAGCTGCTTCTCTGACACAAAAGGTTCTAATGTGATAAAAATGTAAATAAGGTATGTTTGTTTATTTTTTACTAAATTTCAGTTCAGGTCACTAAGTACTAAGCAAATTTACAGTTAGCATATAAGAGTGGTGGCGACGCCCTGCGACAGACATTTTATGAACTTTCTTCTTTTCTGCCAAAATGAGACCATGCCCCATGATTAATCTCAAGGCGTGATGTAACCGTTATATAAAAAGTACCAGCTTCAGTATGACAAGAAAAGTTAACAATTGATCAAATGGATTCTCGTGGAAACATTAGAATTTGACATTGAAATTATCATCAATTCATTGAATTCAAGGTCGCGTACGATAATGTTAAGAGAACAGTAGGTTCTATATCAATCAATGCGTGAGTTTGGAATTAGTTCAGGAAACTAAGGTTTTCACCTAGCAATTTTGTCGGAAAATTTAAGAATTAGTAGTGGATAGTCCAAGAATACAAGTCTATATACTTCCGAAAAGCGCTTTTACTAGGGGTTTTTGTTACATTTTGACTACAAAAATTGGTAAAAAAATTAATTCTGTGCAAACAATGTTTTGTTATTTTCGAAAAAAAACCAAATGGTTATTTTTAATTTTTTTTTACTAATATTAATTGATCTGAAGCTATTTTCTTGTGACATTTTAAACGTCACGTTCAAAACGTACCACACGCAACGTTTGAAACGTCAATAAACGTACTTTAAACTTTAATTGTGGCTTATTTCCATTTAAATCTTCCTCTTCTAGTTCCATGACCGTTATCGATCGTTGGATATCATGTTGCTACTGTACCATACAGCTACCATATTCGCTATCGTGACTTTATTGACAGCAGCTGTAAATAACGATGTAGTTTATTTTCCATACCATTGCCTTAGATTTTTCAGCCATGATGTTCTTCTTCTACCAGGACCACGATTACCTTAGATCTTTCCCTGAATGATCAGATGTAAAAGATCATATTTTTCAGGCTGTCTCATAATGTGACTGAAGTATTCCAGCTTGCGTTTCTTTATTAAATTGACCAGTTGTGTTGTTTGGTTTAGCCGTCTAAGGACCTCCTCATTTCTAACTCTGTTGACCCAGCTTATTTTTAGTAGTCGTCTGTATACCCACATCTCAAAGGCTGTCAAGCGTTTAAGGATAGCCTCAGTTAGAGTCCACGCTTCCACTCCATACAGCAGGACAGGAAAGATGTAGCAAGATGTCATTCGAACTCTAAGGTCAATGCTAAGATCATGACTGCAAAGTACGTTTCTCATTTTTACAAAGGCAGCTCGGGCTTATTCTATTCGGCTTTTAATTTCTGCTGTTGGATCCCAGCTCTTATTGATATTACTGTCGAGATACACGAGTTTCTCTAGTCTGTCCTGTGTGGCATCTCCGACTTTTATACCGTCATCCTGTATATAATTTTGTTTGGTAACTATCATATATTTAGTTTTCTTAATGTTGAGTTTTAATCCATACTAATCACAAGTCTGTTTTATTTTGTTCATTAGATTTTAAAGGTGTTCTCCGCAATTAGCAAGCACTAAGGTATCGTCGGCATATCTAATGTTTTTGACGGTTACTCCATTCACAATAATACCTTCGGTTGTCTTCATTAAGGCTTCCCCAAATATTTCCTCCGAATATAAGTTAAAAAGTAAAGGCGACAATATACAGCCTTGTCTCACTCCTCTTTTTATATTTATTTCATCCGACAGTTCTTGTTTAACCTTTATTCTTGCCACTTGATGTCAGTATAAATTTATAATTATTCGTAGATTTTTATCGTCCAATCCAGCTGTTTCCATTATTTCTAGCATTTTGTTATATCGGACTTTGTCAAACGCCTTTTCAAATTCGATTTCACAAATGTACACATTTTAATTTATATTTCTGCATCTCTGTACCATCACCTGTATACTAAACAAGGCTTATCTTGTACCCAAGCCACTGCTTAACCCAAATTGAGTATTGCTAATTACATCCTCTAACAGCATGCAAATTCTGCTGTGTATTACTCGCAGGAAGATCTTCAAAACGTGACTCATCAGACTTATTGTCCGATAATCACCGCATGTCTTTGGGAGATATTTCTTAGGTATTGTAATAAATATCTACTTTAACCAATCAGTTGGTAATATCCCAGTGTCATAAATTCTGTTAAAGAGATTACACAGAGCTTTAATTCCATTTTCTCCTAAAAACTTTAGTATTTTAGCACTTACTTCATCAGGGCCAAGTGCTTTTCCATTTTTTGCCGTTTGTCTTAAACGTGTAACCTCACTTTCTGTTATAGATAGACCTGATATAGCAATTGGTGTATAGTGTTCTACTCTCCCATCTTCAAATAATTCAGAAATGTATTTTTCTCATTCTTTAAACTGTTTTATGATGACTAATATTCTGTGTCCGTTTCTGTCTTCTAAACTTTGGGATACTTGTTTCCGTTTGTTTCCAGCGACCTATTTTAATTTCTTGTGCAGATGAAATGTATCGTGTTTCTTTTCATATTGTTCAAATTCATTACATTCTTTACTATGAAATTGTGTTTTCGCGTGTCTTCTGCCTTATTATTGCGTGGATCCTCTTGTATTCGTTTTTATCTTTATTTCTGACTTCTCTTCTTTGATCCATAAGTCTCAGTACTTCTTCTGTAATCCACCCTTGTTTTTTTCTTGCTTTTAGCGCAGTCAATTTTGTTTCTTGAACAGTCCTTAAGATGTCTTCAACTCTCGTCCAGTTTTCCTCAGTAATTTCTTCTTTGCTTGAAAATAACATTTTTTGTTCTAATATACCATTTAAATAGTAATTATTAATAATTGAGTCATTATTTTATTGTAAGTTAGCTCTTTTTAGTCGAATTTTAAATCTTTTCGGTTAGGTTCAAACGGATACTATGGCTTGTCTTTTATTTTTAATTTTTCCAAGTGGACCGGAAATTAATAACAAAAAATCAATTTCCCGAATCACTTCGAGTAAAATTGTTTGGGCGTATCTCATCGAAGGTAATACTTTTTCTTATTTGGTAATTTTTTGAAAAAATGCTTAATTTTTGAGTCAGTTGTAATTTAGTTAAAAAAATTCCTTTTCCGCAAATCGCCAGGAAATTTTGACATTCCTGTCAAAATTTCTTGAAGAAAAAGTCAGGACTTCCTTACTGTAAGGAAATGTCATTTCCTTACTGTAAGGAAATGATATTTCCGTACAGTTGTTAGTGTTCTACATAAATGATAGAAAACACATTGCTTATAAGGAATTAATTTATATTTTGAAAACATCAAGTCATTGCTGAATACATTTTTAAGATCAATTTGTTATATTTACACTAATTTGACAGATAGTACAATTATTGAACATTGGAGGAACACTCTTAGAACTATGAGAAACATTTTGGACAACATGCAGGGTGAAAGTGTCATTTTGTTGAATATTTTGTACTGTGAAAATTTTATTTGCCACCTCAACCTTATTGTTAAGCGATTCTTCGATATATCCTTCAGCAACGTTTGATGACTTCCATCCGCCATGCCTCTTTAAACTAGTTATGTCGGCACCAGAGTCAACCAATATTGTTGCAGAAGACCGAAGAAAGCAGTGACCAGTATATTCTGTCGGATTTACCAAGTTCAAATAAGTAGCAATTATTTTGAGCATTTTTATAAATTGATGAATTCCTACCACTTGTCTACAACCCTTTCCTCTTTGATATTTAAAGAAAAATCGGTCACTGTTCATATTTTCTGGTCCTAACGAAACATACTTTCGATAAACATTCAAGTAGATCTGATTAATTACAAATGATCTTGGTTTGTTGGTTTTCGAATCAGGTATGCTGATTAAAAGCTTAGATTCTAAGTCTTCTATATCGTGTACAGTCATTCGGACTAACTCATCCATTCTACAGGCCCCAGAAATACCAAATATTACAGCCACCTAAAAAATAAATAAAGCTATAATCTAAATAGAAATTAAAACCTTGTAAATTACCTTAATCATTAAATTTTCTTTATCTGGAGCTTCCTGGATAAATTTTTCAATTTCTTCCTTCGTTAAAATCTTAGATTTCTTTGCCCTATAACCTTGAGCTTGCCGTTTCAATAAAGAACAAAGTTTTTGAGTATGTAGATATATCTACATTGTGTTTAAGTGCAAGGCTTGACTTCAGCATTGAATAATTGGCCCATAATGTTGAAGATTTCATCTTTAAACAAAGGCCTAGGAAGTATGCCATTACAACATTTTCTGAGAAAGAACTCGTATTTTTACTCATGCGATAATCCATAAAACGTCTGTATGCATTTTCGTACTTTTCTCTTGATTTCTTTGGCAATAATTCTAATGAAGCAGTATTCACTGCCTCAACCAGCTCTGGAGGAGTCCCAGGAATGGAAATTTCATCATCACTTATCATTTTACTTTCGAGAACACCAGCAATTAAATTTA